TACATATTTTTCATTTAGCTGTTCAGGAATATTGCATAGGCAAACTATTGTTTATAACCTTCCTAAATTATTTTCTAGTTTTGAGTACTATAGTATAATGGTCAAATCAATAAATTTTATATTCATGTTGCCGTTAAAATATAAATTATATTCTTATCATTTTAGCAGCATTAATATATTTTTCTCTAAAAGTTTAAATGTTTTATTATTTAGCATTCATGTACTTATTTCCCTCCCTCTAAAAACCCCACCCTTTAGGGATTTTTCTTTAACATCGACATCGCACAAGTTTTTGAAATGCTTTTTTGAAGTCTTCATTAAAGATGGTATAAATCAGTGGATTGATGAGGGAATTGAGATATCCAAGCCATGCCAAAAAATTTGACATTTCTTCAGAAATTTTACATTTTTCACAGACGTTAACAACCAATTCTTTAACAAAAAAAGGAAGCCAACATATCACAAATGCACCTAAGATTAATCCCAGGGTCGTGGCTGCTTTGCGTTCTCTTGTGCCTGAGATCTTTTGCCTCCTCCAAGATTTCTCATGCTTGAATTGGGACCTGGGACTTTTCACTGTGCTATGACTTTTCTCGAATTCAGTTGATGGATCAGATAAAGACTTTTCTAGTACGTAGGGTGTGGAGACCAGTCTCGTGTTTTTCTCACCACTTTCCAAAAGGGCTTGGCCGTTCAGCTCCTCTTTTGCAATCCTACTTGCTTGTCGCTTGTGGTATAATGTCTTTGCTGCCCGATATATTTTGTAGTAGAGGATCAAAATCAGTGCTAGAGGTATGTAGAAAGCTCCAAAGGTCGAGTAAATCGTGGAGACAATGTGGTCGTGCTTGATGATGCATTCATCATCTCGGCTAGTTCCTTGGTGCCTCCAGAAGAGAGGAGGCATTGAGATAAAAACGGATATAATCCAAACTATGGTAATCATAATGCCAGCATGCTTCGGGGTCCTCTTCCTGGCGTACTCAACAGCATCTGTGATTGCCCGGTACCGATCCAAAGCTATAGCTGAGAGATGCAAGATGGAGCATGTGCAGCAGGTAATATCCACACTCAGCCAAATGTCACAGACCACTTGCCCCATAATCCAGCTCTCTCTTACGATATACACAATGCTGAAGGGCATCACCAGGACAGCTACAAGAAAATCTGTGACGGCAAGGGAACAAATTAAATAGTTGGCTGGGTGGTGCAGCTTCCGGGTGACAATAATTGCAGCAATCACAAGGGAGTTGATGGTGGTTGTCATCAGCGCCAGCCCAGAGAGAGTGAGGGACACTAGTATTTTGGGTAGCATTCTGTTTAACAGTTCCTCTGAGGTCAAGTTTTGGTCAGATGAGTTTCTGAAATCCATTTTTTGTGTGTGTGTTTTAAAAGGTTAATATAGCTGAAAAATGGATACCTGTAAGAAAGGAAGGGAAAATAGTTCAGAGAAGGCTTCAAGAATTTTTCTCTTCCTTTCAGAACACTTTAGAAACATATTATGTGTATACTTTTTCCAGAATATTCTATGGATTAAAAAATGAAGTTCAGATTTCCGGTCTTATTTTTCTTTTCCTTTAAGACAAATCCAGTGAGAAAAGTAACAAATGGTAACTTCCGAAACATTTCTTAAAATACAGGTCAAATGAAACAATTTTCATGGATAAAATAGGCTGTTACTCGATGAAATTTCTACCCTTATAGAATTGCTTTTTTAAAACTGTATTAACTCTAGCTATATTTTTCTCTTTGTCCACAGCAGAAAAAGTTTAAAAGCACATGTAATTGGTATATATTTGTGCACTGTATAATGTAACATAAGATAATATTATATTAAAGGCAGTATTCAAAATGATAAACAATTTTGTACTCAATTCAAAGTTACATTGAGGACATTATCATTGGACTTGTGGAGAGTAAAGGAACTTTTAATGCATTTACTTCAGGAGATGGAGGTTATATAAAGGGAAATAAGCAAAAAAACCCCCAACATTAGTATATCTTTAGAATGTTATGATCATGTTATGAAATTAGGAAAACGCCAGAATGTTTAGTAGACTTTATGGATATAAGTAATTTATTTGGCTTAAAAAGATCAAATAAGATTAGTTGGAGTCAAACAACCATACAACATTACCCATTATAACAATGACATATATGACCAAATAACCCACTTACCAAGTGAACTGGCCAGTGAGGAAAGCTCATAATGGTACTTTCTCTGAAATGGAAATTATTCTTCTTCATAAGTCACCATAATAATGACCAGTTTACCTTACTTCTGAAAAAGGACTCTCCACATGTGGCTTATAATTTTTGCTTTAGTCCATGCTAGGATTTAATTACAAGTCAAATGAAAGCAACTGGACTCTAAAAAAATAAGATTAATACCTTTAAAAATACCGCTTTCCTTCATCAATCCTCTTCTCTCTAAATAACTCTTAAGCAGCTAACAGTATCTTAGAAGACAGAGAGAAAGTAGAAACCTGAAACTTTATTCTTAGTTATAACCATTACTATACTTTCATGTTTCTTTACTTTTTAAAAAAATTTTTTTGAGACAGAGTGTCACTATGTTACCCTTGGTAGAGTGCCATGGTGTCACAGCTCACAGCAACCTCAAACTCCTGGCTTAAGTGATTCTCCTGCCTCAGACTCCTGAGTAGCTGGGACTACAGGTGCCTGCCACAGTGCCCGGCTATTTTTTTGTTGTAGTTGTCATTGTTGTTCAGCTGGCCTGGGCCAGGTTTGAACTCACCAGCCTTGGTGTATGTGGCTGGCGATGTAACCACTGTGCTACCAGCGCCGAGCCAAGTTTCTTTACTTTTAAGCGTTGATAAAACAATAATTTAAAGTACTCAGGTCTGGCTCAGTGCCTGTAGCTCAGTGGCTAGGGCACCAGCCACATACACTGGAGCTGGTGGGTTTGAACCCAGCCCAGCCTGCTAAACAACAATGACAACTACAACCAAAACATATCCAGGCATTGTGGTGGTGCCTGTAGTCCCAGCTACTTGGGAGGCTGAGGCAAGAGAATCACGTAAGTCCAAGAGACTGAGGTTGCTGTGAGCTGTGATACCATTGCACTCTACCAAGGGTAATATAGTGACACTTTGTCTCAAAAAAAGAAAAGTACTTGGGCAAGACACAGGGGCTCACCCCTGTAATCCTAGCACTCTGGGAGGCCAAGGAGGTTTGATTACTTGAGCTCAGGAGTTTGAGACCAGCCAGAGTAAGAACAAGACCCCATCTCTAGAAATAGCTGGGCATTGTGGCAGGTGCCTGTAGTCCCAACTAGCTGGGAGACTGAGGCAAGAGGATTGCGTAAGCCTCAGAGTTTGAGGTTGCTGTGAACTATGATGCCATGGCACTCTACCCAGGGCAACAAATTCAGACCCTGTCTTCAAAAAATTGCACACGAACTTTATGGACACCCTGTATAAGGTGGTGAATAATAAAATATCTTGAAGTGCAGCATATTTGCTATTCTGCTTGTGTTTGAATCACTAGTACTAAATGTAATTTTTATTTTTTGGTATTCATTGAAGGCAAGTGTTGTTAAGCAAACTGAGTAGCACAAGAAATCTGAGTACCTGCTACCCTAAAAGATGAGTGGTTGTCTTGTTGTGCAGTTGAGTAGCTGTATATCTATGTTGGTTATGTCAACACTTACTCATTTGAAAGGACACCTGACAACTCCAGGTTAAGAATGGACGCTAAGTTCTCAGCAGAAATTCCAAACCAACAGTTCTCAAATTTAGTGTATCTCAGAACATCTGGAGGGCTTGTTAAAACACAGATTGCTGGGTCACCCCTCTAGAGTTTGTGTGATTCAGTTAAGTCTAGTGAGTCTAGGCCCCTAAAATCTGCATATCTAACAAATGCCCAGGTGATGCTGACGCTATAGGCCCAGGGAATCAGCTTTCTGAGCATAATCAACATGGTTGTTCCTCATCGGGTTTGTTCAAAGCTGCAACATCTATAATTTCCTCTCTATTGAGGGTGACTCTGATGTTCCTGCTATACAGCCTTTCAGCATCTCTTTTCCTTACATCTTGTTTCTTGTCTTTTCTCAAATAAATGCTCTTACACTAGCTTTGTTTGGATATTTTCCGATTTTCATGGTTGTCTCCATGTAGCTCTTGGACTTCTTGCTCTAGGTCTATTCACCACCCACTCCTCACTTTTTTCCTGTTCTTTTCAGCCTATTATAAGAGTCAACTATAATGATATTTCCTAAAATTTATATTTGACCACAGGACTTCTTGAGAAAGAATGGTGTGCTCATAGGTCACATCAGGACTATCATTAAAATCCTCCACAAGTGTTTTCAGTATCAGTGAACCCCACAGACCTTACCTATCTCCAATGGAAGCATTTTTAGGGGAAGAATGGCCAAATGTAAAATTCTTACTTCAAAGCTGATAAAACTTAGAAACATGGTAAATTAATTTCTACCTTACTTTCAATTTTTTCCCATTCACACATCATAAAATTTATGCTACATGTTTAATTTTAAAAACCTCAATATTTTTTTAATTGGCTCATTCATTCACAATGGTGTTTATTTAGTATTATAGGGATTGATCTAAAGTGCTGACATTTTTCTTATGCTTAGCAAAAATAGCTTTCCATTTTAATTTGTCTAATGAAGAGTTTTGGCAGGAGGTAATCTTGAAATTACCGTTTAAATAGAATACCGTTTAAATAGAAACCTACATAAGGTTTCTCTTCCTTAAAAAAAAAAATCAATTCTGTAGAAAAGTAGACCAACTTAAAGTTTGAGGGTGAATTATTTTATAATTTAACCGATTTTTCTAAGAGTCACATTGTAGCATTTAAATTAAGTTCAATAAAATGGCACTTTATGCTAATTAAAAAAAACAAAATTTTTGTCACCTTTTAGTTTGTGTAATAAAATGTATGTGTCCTATAAATTACCTTGTAGTTTACCAAAAATCTCTTTAATATTAAACTTAGAAACTTAATTGATCTTCTGATAGTTACACATAATAAAGAAAATAGGAAAACAAACACACCCAATCCTGATTGGGTTTTATTTTACAATTAGAAATTTAATAACTATTATTCTTAATTAATTCAGGCACGGCCTCTGACCATACTCCTTCATGTTCTTTTATATCTTAGGATATCGTTATGTGTCCTCTTGGTACTAGGGACCAACTCTGGGTTACTGGACATAGTCTATGTTACACATATCTCTCTTACTCTTAGGACATAGACTGCATTCTGTAGTTTGAATGTCTTCACTGGGAAATAATCAAGATTAGTCTCTCTCTCTTTTTTTTTCAGGGAGGACATAGTCTCACTATGTTGCCCTGAGTAGAGTGCAGTGGTATCATGGCTCACAGCAACCTCAAACTCTTGGGCTTAAGAATTCTCTTGCCTCAGCCTCCCAAGTAGTTGGGACTACAGGCACCTACCACAATGCCTGGCTATTTTTTGTTGCAGTTGTCATTGTTGTTTAGCTGGCCTGGGCCAGGTTCAAACCCTCTAGCCTTGGTGTATGTGGCTGGCACCGTAACCACTGTGCTATGGGTGCTGAGCCCAAGATCACTCTCTAAGTGAACTTGTAGTCTTATCACTTATATGTGGTCTTCTTGACAATCACAGAGAGAAAATGTTTCTTCAGGCTTTACTCAGCTTGAATATTTGCCAATTTGTTGATCTAGATGCATGATGTATTTACTTCTCTTTACTCCTCTGGTTATACACGATATTTCATATGTCTAATGTTTATTTATATTCACGTGTCTGCTTGATCTTAATATCCAATTATATTGTCCTCTGGTTAAACTATTAGGTCTTAGGGGCATAGTTTACTCTATTGCAAATAACCTGGGTGTGGTGGGGTCACACACACATAGTTTTTATTAGAACATTGTGAAATGGTAAAATAGTAAAATTTAATTCCATCAAGACCTCATTAAAACTACAAGTTTATTATTTTTTTTATTTTTATTTTTTTGAGACAGAGCCTCAAGCTGTCCCCTTGGGTAGAGTGCTGTGGCATTACAGCTCACAGCAACCTCCAACTCCTGGGCTTAAGTGATTCTCCTGCCTCCGCCTCCCAAGTAGCTGGGACCATAGGCGCCCGCCACAACGCCCGGCTATTTTTTGGTTGCAGCCATCATTGTTGTTTGGCAGGTCCGGGCTGGGGATTCGAACCCGCCACCTTAGGTGTATGTGGCTGGAGCCTTAGCCAGTTGAGCTATAGGCGCCGAGCCACAAGTTTATTATTTTAATGAGAGTAATAGTGATACTCATCTTTTCTGACTGCTTACCTTTGCAGGCACTGTACTGACTGCTTTACATATATTAACCCATTTAATCTTCACAGCTAACCTTTTTTTTTTTTTTTTTTGAGACAGTCTCACTATGTCACCCCTGTAGAGTGCCATTGAGTCTCACAGCTCACAGCAACCTCCAACTCTTGGGCTTAAGTGATTCTCTTATCTCAGCCTCCCAAGTAGCTGGGACTATAGGCGCCCACCATTCACAGCTAACCTTTGAGGGAGGTACAATTATTATCTCTCATTTCATAGATTAAAAAACTGAACCACAGAAGTTTAATGAAATTCTCTATGTTGATAACATAGCAAATGACTGGTGGAACAAAACATTCTCCTAACCACCATTTTACTCTCTATAGGAGGTTGATTACACAATACAGTATCCTAGTTATGAGGTCTATAAAGTAATGCCTTTTTACTATAAAATAAAGATTATGTTATATACTGAGAAAGGTATTCAAAGAGAAGCAAATATCTAATTGAATGTTTAAGGTAGTAAACCGGTCTACATATGTTGATTGTAGTAGTATGAATGTGTTCATAGCATTTTCCAATTTTTTGTTACTATCTTTCAAACTCTTGAGAATTCCTTTTTGCTCTTCCCTTTGCTCCTATTTGGTCCTTTAAAAACTATTTATTGAGTGCTATTTATGTGCCAATGTATCTGAGAGCTGTAAAAAATATTTCTCCCTATCTACCACCCCTCAGAAAACCTACCCCTGGACAATGTAAACAAAATGGCAAAACAACATCTTGTTCTTATCTTTTAGAAGTTAGCCTGGGTAATGACACAGCTAAGTGCATAATTACAGTACAATTATACAATCCAATAATGACATTATGGAAGTACATGTAAAGTGTCCTGGGAATAATGGTGAGGGAGAATCAATCATTCTATGGTTAAACAGAATTTTGCGATAAAGAGAAAAGTGTAAACAAAAGCAGAAGTACATGGGTGAACATTAGGGAAATTAGGATTATGGGAATAGAGTTAGGTTGATATAATAATAGAATGATTGTATAAAAGGTTGTGTGATCAGGATCAGGTATGCAAGAGAATGGGAGAGGATAGAGCCTCCAAAAAGTACTATACTGGGGGCGTCATGAGACAGCTTGGCACGAACATCAAAGGACTTCAGGAACAGGTCCCCAAGGGCCTGGCTGAGGGCCTGAAAGGACCCCAGGAAAAAGGTCTGCAAGGGACTGGATGGGGGCCTGAAAGGGCTTGAGAAGACATTTTAGGAGAACATGGGCAGCTGACTCATTGAGCAAGAAAGATTAGTTGTTATGGATGTGAGATAAGAGGATTCAGCTTTGTTCCTTCTGGCTCCTGAAGATGAGTAAGGCATCAACTAATCTTCCCCCTCCCCAGGAAACAAAGGATTAACTGGGTGGCATCTAGCTCCAAAGACTATGTGCCAATTTCCTTTGTTTTCAGTAATCCTGTTTGTGATTGATAAGTATCTTAAGAAGTAAAAGTAATAAAAATAACTAAAGAGTTATTGGGTGGGTAATTCAGAACTAGGTCAGGAGAAACCTCAGAGATGATATATGTTATTGTTTCTGCAAACACCCATTAACTAATTGTGAGAAATAATAAAGACTGAGTACATCATAAGTTTGACGTCTTTGCTGTCTGTTGCAAGAAGGGGATTGACCTCCTGGGCCCACTCCATAAATTCTACTCTGTTTCTATTTTTGAGGCAAAGTCTCACATCGTTGCGCTTGGTAGAGTACCATGGCATTGTAGATCACAGCAATTCAAATTCTTGGGCTCAAGGGATCCTATTGCCTCAGCCTAGCAGTAGCTGGGTCTCTAGGCGCCCACCACAATGCCTGGCTATTTTTTGCCTGAGCTCAGGCAATCCACCCACCTTGGCCTCCCAGAGTGCTAAGATTACAGGCATGAGCCACCATGTCCAGCCTACTCAGTTTCTATTGTCTTTCTTTATTTTCTCCATTCCTTGGTCATCACCGCTGAGCATTAGGGGCACTCACAGTTTGGCTCCCTACAGAAGTATAAAAATGTAGGATGTATTCAGACACATGAAGTCATCTGATGTGTGACTGACTGGAGTACTGAAAAGGAATTATTAAGTTCAGGATTGGAGGTAAGGAGTGAAAGTTAACTGAGAAAGACAAAGAAGAGGCTGGAATGCTATGATATCAGATTTTATTTTGTAGGCTATCAGAAGTCTTAGAAATGTAAGTGAAAGAATAAGATCTGTGTTTTGGTAGAGGGATGTGTGCAGATAACGAGGTACATCTTGAAGAGAGAGGTTTTGCTGCTCTATGGAGAAGTTATAATCAAAATGATTACAAAGCAGGATGGCACCTGTGGCTCAGGGAATAGGGCACTGGTCCCATATACTGAGGGAAGCAGGTTTGAACGTGGCACTGGCCAAAACTGCAACAACAACAAAAAATTTACAAAGCACTCTTAAGGGTGTAGCTGAAATTAGAATCTTAAAGAGGTCATTTGGATAAAATTGTTCTAGGTTTTTGTTATTCTCCATCAGTGCTCACAATTAAAGTTTATATCACAAAGGAAAAGAATTGATTCAGGATTGGATCAGGAATTGGAAAGTTGCCAAAGGTCAAAGGTCAAGGGGAGATGTTGATGAGACAGTTGGATTAGTGCCTTTTTCATAAAAGAGCAGACCAGACAGGGCAACATGCTGAGGAAATAGACCAGGGTTGAGTAATTTGAGGGGTTGATGAAGTTCAAGGGCTGGTGTAATGTGGGTTCCAGTAATGTGCAGGGATGAGAAAAGTAAACGAAGAGATTGCTGTTAGGTTCAGAGCCTGGGATTACAGAGTTTTGAGTTCTGGGAGTGATTCTAGAGCTAGGATATAAAAATGTTAGGAATTGCTCTGATTCCTTTATACCAGTGGATACCTGCTCACAGACTAATGTGTGAACCTACACGGAGATCTTATAGCATTTCTGAAAATGGAACTTTGCCATGTGTATGTATGTATTTCCCCCCCCCCCCATTTCTTTGTCACCATCTGCTGCATCTGGTCTTGGAGGTTCTTGATAGATACTGCTTGTGATTTCCCACACAGTTGCCTTTTTGCTTTTGGATACCCACCCATCCTCATCACGTCTGGGTTTAACTCTGCCCATGTCTGACTTAAGGAGTGTGCTTATGCTTCTTAGATGTCTGATCTAGTTTCACTCTTGGTTTATGAATTTTCTTCTCTTTAGTTTGTCTATTGGCTTTAGTGATTACCATCTCTCTCATACTCAAAATATATTCAGCCATTTCCTAAACTTCCCAAATCTCATCCAATCTCAGAGTCTATAAAGTCGTGTTATGTTATCAGGTCAAGAAACAGGTGAGATTTCTTGGGGATGCAGTGAATTGACTCAGAGAGCTGTGAACTAAAAAGATAATTCATCTATTACTCAATCCTCAACATAAAATGGTTTAATAGACATCCCTATTAAAAATGATGAGGATGGCCCAGAGCAGTGGCTCATGCCTGTAATCCTTGGGAGGCCAAGGTGGGTGGACTGCCTGAGCTCATGAGTTTGAGACCAGCTTGAGCCAGAGCAAGACCTTGTCTCAAAATAGCAGGATATTGAGGCAGGCTCCTGTAGTTCCAGCTACTCAGGAGGCTGAGGCAAGAGAATTGCTTAAGCCCAAGACTTGAAATGCTATGACATCATGGCACTCTACCAAGGGCAACAAAGTGAGACTCTGTTGCCAAACAAATAAACAAAACTCCAAAAAGCGATAAGGAAATGGGAGGCACAGAGCAGCTACTGACCTGAAATCCACCCACACAAGTGTTATCAGAGTATTCTACTCTGAAGGTCCGAAATTCACCTGCATTAGGGCCTACTTCTGCTTTCTAACTTGATTCTCTAATTTACTATACTTTGGAGCTCTTGAATCTCTCTCTAGGCTCTTAACTCTGCTTTTTGAGAGGTCCTGTTTGGTCTATGAGAAATAGTCTGGATTTACATCTAAGAAGCCTTTGTGCAACAGAGGGAATGGTCTGAAAAAAGGGTAAAAATATTTTCTTTTTAAAACTCCCTCGCCCTTTTAGAGAACTTAAACCCTGCATTTGTGCCTCAGTCAGTGGTTGGAGGAGCGGAGGAATGTCCTTTGTTATTTGTGCCGCAGGAGCTGCTCAGCGGAAATTTCTCCACCAGCAGATGTCTGTGGTGGAGGTCATAGAGGTCACAGGGTTGTCTTCACCAGAGATGGGACAGATCAGAATCACAGATTGTAGTTAAACAGTAATAGCCTGAAGCAGAAAACTCTCCTATTAAAAGTTCTGTATTTCTGCTTATGACTAAGATGATGGCATTTTAAGATCGGAGACTCCATCCTCCTCATTTACTGGCAAATTAGTAGACTCTTTTTTTTTCCTAACCACTTTTCCTCCTTCTGATGCAGCCTTGGGGATAAAGGTTGAGATTTTAGTAATATTCTCAGCCTGCTTTCTGCCTATAGAAAATTTTTACATTTTGAACTCTTTCCCTTTTAGTGCAAGTTAGTATAATTTTCTTAAAAACTTTGTGTTTCTCTATAAATCTGACTGACAGTCACTACCTACCCCAAGTGCCACATGAGTAATTTTTTTCAAGACAGACTTCTTTCTTCTTTGGACAGAGTATTAGGGCTGTAGGATAACAACTTCAATATTCCTAGAAGTTCTTTTGTCTAGCTTAGAGGCTCTACAAAGCTCCCCTTTAAATCTTTCTGAAGTTTTAATCAAAAGGTTTTATAACCATATCCTTGATCTGCTCTTTACCCTGAAGCTATTTTTTCTTTGACAGTCTTTTGCTCTCTGGATAGATAAGTCATGTGAAATAGTTTTGTTTTTCTCTCTTGCAAGTCCCAGCTCTCACCTATTTCTTCTAAATTTTGTGTGCAAACTTTAATTCCTTTCTTACCATTATATTTGAAATTGTCAGTTGGCATTTTAAATATTCTTCCTAGAAACTCCTTTGGGCATATCCACAAGTTCATTAAGCCCATTTTATCTTCCAGGTTATTGCAGACCACACTTTCACAAGTCGTTTTAGTATTACTGTTATTGGAAGAAAAGAGTCCAGCCAAAATCAGAGATGGGGTATAGGTCCGACAAGGTTTATTATCAGAAGGCCAGGGATTCTGGAGAACAGTTAGAGTAGCCTCATCCAAAACTATTCTGCCCTTCCATTTCCAAAACCACAGTTTTATGGTTGAACCATAGAAGTTCAAAGCAGAAACCATGTTAACCCTTACCTTAAATAACAATAATTAACCTTTATCTTAAACAACAACAATCAGCATAACCCAAGATCCATAATACATAATAATTACCATAACCCATGACTGATAATAAATAATAATTGGCATTCATAACCCATGGCCCCAAACAACAATTTCTAATTCAAAAGTTAATCTCCTAAATCAATTGCCCTAAACTACACTTTTAGGTTAAAGCTGAATTTACAAAACAATAAGGATGTAAGACATGAGGTGAAGGTTACATGGGACCTAAAACAGCCAGACCAGCTAGGTCATCTTGGTCCTGGCATGACCGACTCTGTCACATTCTCATTACATGTGCTCCCACTATAAAACAGGAGTTACCCTCTTTCAAGCCTCTGTTAACAGAAAAGAAGCCAAATGCTGTAAAATAATTTTAAACACGTTTATTCTGAGTCAAGTTTGAGGATCATAGCCCTGAGGTAGGCCCAACAAGTCTTGAACAAGTGGACTCCTGGTTGGATTACAATTTGGTTTTATACATTTCAGGGAGGAGGCTTACAGGTTATAGATGAGTTTAAAGAGCCTTTCCTTTGTGATTGGTTAAAGAAATGGAGCTTTGTCTAAAAAGCCTTGGAATGTTTTAAGTTAAAATAAAGAAGTCTGTTAATCAGAGACAAACCACCAGCCACATACTCAGACTCAAGTGATTGTGGGTTAAACGTTGTCTTGCATAGCCTTGGGCCTATTAATGAGTTACAAAGAAAATTTTCAAGAAGGGAGGGGGGCATAATGAGGCATGTTCCACTTTTCTCAAGGCCAGAAACTCACCTTTAGTGTATTTCTGGGGTCCCCTTGGCTGAAATATTTTATTGTAGTTCTTACCTCCAACATAACATTTTTACCATCTTTCCAGTCTCCACTAAAAGGGTTTTCACTAATGGTCTGCGCACTGTTTATCCAGACTTTGCATGCTACCTGGACCTCACCTCACATCTTCCATCCTTGCTGTTTTATAAATTCAGCTTTAGCCTAAAAATATATATTTTGTGTCATTTAAGGAGATTTAGGAGATTTAAGAGAGATTTAGGTGGGAAGATCTCTTGAATTCCTAAGCTGGTCAAGCAAGAGTGAAACCCCAGCTCTACTAAAAATAGAAAAGTGAGCAGGCATCATGGGGTGGACCTCTAGTCCCAGCTGCTGGGGAGGCTGAGGCAGGAGGATCACTTGAGCCAAGGAGTTTGAGGTTGCTCTGAGCTAGTCTGACCTCATGGCACTCTAGCCTAAGGAACAGAGTTGAGACTGTCTTAAAAAGAAAAAAAAGGAAAAAAGAAAAAAAAAGGAAAAAAGAAAAAAAAGGAAATGTTTTGGGTCATGGGTTATGCCAACTATTGTTTATTGTGGGTCATGGGTTATGCTGATTATTGTTTAGGATGAGGGTTAATTATTATTGTTTAAGATAAGTGTTAGCATGGTTTTTGCTTTGAAATTTTATGTATAAAACTGTGGTTTTGGAAATGGAAGGTATAAGAGTCTTAGCGAGACTACTCTCACTGTTCTACAGAATTGCTGGCCTTCTGATAATAAAGCTTGTTTGACCTAATCCTGTCTCTGCACTTGGCTGACAGTGACAGGTGGCTAGACCCTCTTAGTGTGGTAATACCTCTCTTTCCCCTCTCCTTCACTTTCTCACTCTTTCTCTCCTTCTAAGAAGATAAATCTTTTTACTTTATATCCTAACCTCTTTGTCTGTGAGAAATTTTTCTCTACCCATTTTTTTTTTTTTGCAGTTTTTTTTTGTTTGTTTGGTTGGGGCTGGGTTTGAACCCACCACCTTCAGTATATGGGGCT